GTTTAAAAAAAACAGGTCAACTTTTTCATACAATTTTGTATATTAAATAGTTATGAGTGATTCTTTCATAACTTCTATATTTATTTTGTCTTATAATTTCTGTACCTTTTTAATGCTTATTTAATTTTATTTATTTAATAATACATAAAGAATTACTCTGTATCCGTATGTGTATAGAATATTGATAAAAAAACTAATAAGCTAATTTAAAAATTAGCTAATAAAAAGTTGACCTGTTTTTGAGACTCGAGGCCCTATCTATATAATCTAAGGTTCTAAGGTCTTGTGTATATTTATATATTTTTATTACTATTTTTAAACGATATCTAAAACGCTGTTTTTAAAATTTCAATTTAAATTATTCAATTATTCAATTTAAATATCGTTATATAGAATCATGGCAACAATAAATGAGCAAAAAATTTTTAATGGTTAGGAATTTATGGAAATATTGCGTAAAATATGTACGAAAAAAAAAACAGATGAATCGAGAATCCTCGTTTCTGAAATCTCTTAAAAAGCAATATAGCTACGAAGATACGAGTAAAGCAGGCTTTGCGCTAAGCAATTTATCGTACGCACCCGATCTGAGATACAAGATATTGCTTATTGCATAGATAGAGCAAGTAAGACATATCGCATACAAATTTGTTAGCACTGTAGGTTTCACATTAAATGCAATAAATTGCGAAAAAAATTCACGTAAGTATGCACATTTTATACGCCACTCTCCACGTACTTTATACGTCACGTCTTCATAGGAATGCTTCGAGAAAAACGGGTCAACTTTCCCATATAATTTTGAGTGATAAATAGTTATTTCATACTTTACATTTATTTTGTTTTATAATTATTGCATCTTTTTTCAAGCGTAAAAACTCATTATATTTGTTAAATAATTAAATATAGATACATCAATATACATTATATATGTAAGTATGTAGAACAATGATAAAAAAACGAGTCAATTTGATAATTAGCTGACAAAAAGTTGAGCCGTTTTGGAGGTTTGATGCTCTATCTAATATACATATAAGGCTACTTGGCATGGATAACTGACAACCTGTCTGATGGAAGGTAATATATATATATATATATATATATATATATATATATATATATATATATATATATATATATATATATATATATATATAAAGGAGCAGCATTATGGACATTATAAAATTTACGATTTAGGGATGAGTAATAAATAGCAAATCTATATATTGGTCCGGTGATGGATACAATAAATATCGGTTTTTTTTTTATATAATAAGTGATTTCTATCGCTATCTTTGAGGCGACAACTTTCCGATTTTTTTGTATTTATATCTGTACAATTGTAACTGTGTGTTTTTTTTTCTTTTTTTTTTTAATATTATATATGTATATATAAAATAAAACTTTAAATATCATTTTAGCGAATTGTACTAATTGCAACCTGCTGGAATCATCTTGAAATACATTCTTTAAGTTTTCTTTTGTTATATTGGTATTTGTCCTAAATTCAAAGTTTAAATCGGTTGTCCAATATATAATATTGACACGTAGCACCTGATTGAAATTTAGATATTCAACCATTTATTGATTTGTTGGTTTTGTTTTTTTTTTTATTATATTTATTATTAATTAGTATTGTATGTATTTGGGGATTGTTAGTTTTTTTTTATGGGTGAAAATAGTATGGTAACCCCGTCTGCGCTAACGGGATACGCTGGCGGAGCACCAGTGAAAGGTGATAGATGAGAATGAAAACAGGCCAGTTAGCCCATCATGATGAATTCATCAGGAATTAACCATGATAGTTTCCATGGAGAATCGCGAAGATGTCGACCTGGTTGGGTATATTGCTAGCAATGGGATTCCCAGTCTCCATTACTAACAATCCCCTTTCCCCCTGGGGCTTGTTAGTTATAGGAACTAGTGGATCCATTGCTGGCAATATATCCTGCCAGGTTGACCTCCACATGCTTCTCAACAAAACCATCAGGGTTAACTCCTGGTGAAATAGTCACTATTGACTTTATTATTATTATTATTTATTCTTTATTGCATAATAAAATTTTGTACAAATGGCGAGCTTAATGCCATATGGCATTCTCTACCAGCTAACCATTGGGTAAAAACAGAAAACGTATGAAGGGCAGATGTGGTGAAAAATATGTGACAATTATAGTAACACATTAAGGCAATACACAATATAAACATAATATACACATAAGAAATGCACATATAATACATAAACATTACTTTTAATATATATGGATAAACTAATACGTATGAAATACATACATATATATATTTACCATTAGGTATAGTATCCCACTAGTACTCGAAATATATACTGATAGCACGAGCGAGGTTACCATTCCATTTTCATCTATGAAGAGGAAAGATTCGTTTAAAGCGGACAAACTCAGAAACTACTTAACCAATTATAAAATTCTTTTACGTATAGAAAACTACATTGTCGGTGAGTTACGTAGGCCATATATTATATTATTTTTGAAAATTCTATCCTATCTAGCTGAGCGAAGCCGGGCCAGATCACTAGATTATTAATAAAATACAGCTAGTTCCCTACAAAAAATACAATTAGATCGAAGTGCCTATGTATCTGAAACAATTTGCAAACTCTCCCCTAAACAATATTTTATATATATATATATATTTGTTAAAGATTAAGTCCCACAAAAAAAAAACAATTTCAAACGTAACAAAACTAGTAATTTTGATTTAAAACTTTACTAAAGGGACACTTTGTACAAAAGTCGTTCGCTTGGGCACCTCTGTCCCATTCGCGTTTCAATCATGAAGCAGTTGTATCCGCTACGAGCTTATATTGTGTAGGCAAATAGCCTACTTATCTATCTCGCTCTAATATATGTGTTTTTATGCTTTTTTTGCATTACCAATCTATATATATTCTTTATTGCACTAATACATACAGTAATAATAACAGTACAAACAATGTAAGCAAAAAAGAACATATTTCTTCCAATCAACCTAACACAATGGCATAGAAAGTAGTGAGCAGTAGCAATATCTATGTGTGTAATTTACAAGCTAAGCTCTATATTTACCAGAAGGCAGACTTTGTACAAAAGTCGTTTGCTTGAGCACTTCTGTCCAATTCGTGTTTCAACCGTGAAGCAGTTGTGTTCGCATGGCTGTGTTTCGGTTTGAAGGGTGGGATATGTCAGTGAATTTACAGGGTATAAAGGAATAACACCTGATACTATATACTTAACACTACTTCGCTGTGGTACACATATTATATTTTCATATATTATGTTTTGTAAAAAATTTTTGTGTACATCGCTCTTTTGTTAAACACTGTTTATTTTTTCTGTTACTATTGTATTGTCACAATTTTTATGTATCTCTTGATGCAAATAAAGAGTTTATCTATCTTTATTTTTAGTCTATTTTTTTTATCAGTGAATGTTGTAATAAAATACATTTTGCTGCCCAATAAACGAGAACGCCCATTATTTTGCTTAAGTTCATTTGAATTGCTTTTAAGGCAACAGTAACAAAGCACTCTCCTTTATTTCACGCTCGACAAATTAGGAAAAACAATTTTCTTTCTTTTGTTTTTTTTTTAACGGTTATGAATTAAAATATTGTATAGTATATAACTATACAATATTTTAATAATATAAAAAGTCGAAATGTATCAGTTTTCAAATGGTACGCTTAACAACGAATAACAATTTATTTTAACTCATCTTCATATAAATGCTATTCATCATTATCATCTCGGTCATTATCAAAATATTTTGTGTTTCCAAGTCTATTCTTTAAAAAGGCAACGACAAATCAAAATTTAATCTTAGATTTTTATCGTGTTAGGAGTCTGAGCATTATTTTTTAATTAAAGGAAAAGTTAGTTATCTACTTTCACAGGATACCTAGATACCGCAATAGAAAGTTACCAGCTCCAACAGAATCTCAGCCACAGAGGCACCTAACTCAGCCAACTTACAACTTTCCTTAACAACTTTTGATTAAATGCAGATTTACAGCTTTTCTGAAATTAATGAGAATGAGAATAATTTATCGTGTTACTATAAATAACGTAAAAAAATAAAATCAGGGGTCTACCATAATATTGTTTGAATATTCGGACACAATTTCATGTCTTCGTTCATACAGAAATCGACCCAGTAAATATGAAGCTTAAATTTTTATTCGTTACATATTCTACTATAAAAGTCCGATTCAAGTTCCGAAAGTCCGGAACAATATTATAACATTTTTAATATTTTTAAACGGTATAGATTATATAATTTTAATATCAAATCTGTGTTTCATTCGGCCTCGAAATTTCGGATAACAAACATTTTATGGTGGGCTTACCATGATTTGTGATGTAAAATTAATACTTACCTACCTATTGAATATGAAACTAAATAGGCGCATTAACAAAATAGAATCAATTTAAACAGCGACTTCATTTTAAAATTTAATTCATTATTAATGTGATAATGACACTTTCAGTGTAAACTCAGTGTAAATGTGAACTGCAAAAACATTAAAATTGATTCAAAATTATACAAGTTAAAAAATCGTGATACATATCGAAAGTATAAAAATAAATTATACTTTTATAACAAAATATATAAATTATAATTATCAAGTATCAAGATTATAAACTACGTTATTCTATGTTACCAAGTGTTTTATTATAAAATAAATTAACAGTAGGTCGGCACTGTCTACGATATTGACGAAACTTGAAAATAAATCTATAACCCCCTTGAAGTATCAAATAATAAACAGTATAAATATTCATGTTTTAATTTATAATATGCCTCTGTCCAAAATATCTTGAAAGATTTAAAATTATTTAATAGTCTAAAATTTTCAAATTTAATGAACAGGTTGCATAGAAAATATAAAAATATTTATTATTCGAAGTGACGCAGGTATGTGTACTAATGCAATAAAAGAACAATTGCAAAGATTTTAGCTATAATTATGAAAAATAAACTCACCATCTCTATCGTAATGGCTCCAAACTTCCATGAACTGGTTTGCAGAAAGTTTCTTCAATTCTCTCGAGTCTGGATCTCTGAACTGCCTCATAAAATTCGACGCTCTCTCGAAATTTAGTTTCTTAGATGACGAATTCGAATCGAAACTCATTTTGAAAAAAAAGAAATATTTTTATCTATGTTTTAATTTTAAATTTGATATCACTAGCGTTCGAAATCACTGTATGTATATATATCACCAAATAAACTATATATTAAATTTTTTTGACATAAATATGAAATTAATGCTTCGTTTATATTTATAGTAATAAATAAATTATTTTGGCTTTATTTATTGTCAGTTTATTTATTTAGAATCTAAAAATATATTTTTTTTATATTACGTATATATTTTTATTCTTGTACATATATTGTTTGAGTATATAAATATTTTTAACTTCCTTCGTTTTTCATCTCATCTGTAACAAATAAAAATACATATATTTAACAATAAAATGAAGTTGTGTCACATCCGAGCCCAAGGCATTTTCATTTATTTTTCTCCAAGGCTAATGATGTTATGTTATGATAAAATGAAACGATATATTTTAATTATGTACAGTAAATTTTCGTTTATATTAATATTAAATGTCTTATTTTTCTTTGAGAAAACAAATAAATGTCTTGACCTCGAAATTTGTTGGTAGTTTAAAAAGTATACGTCGACAATAATAGTATTTTTTTAATGTATGATAATGGAATGGTAATCCCTCGGCTCAATTGGCTTACGCCGGCGGGGTACCAGTGACAGATGATATATGAGGTTTAACGTCAAATATCATCCGTCAGGTCAGGCCAGGCTAGGTTAGTTGAGAGACCTGCCCTTACCATCAGGAGGCGGGTCGCTGCCGCCGGAGATGTGGTGAGTGCGAAAGCGAACCCATGCCTCCGACGTTTGGTACCTCGAGGGTATATCGTCTGGTTTTTGGTGGGCACACCCCCGCCTGACGGGGGATTCCCACAGTTCCCATTCTCTTCCCACAAGGTGTATGGGTCTGCATAAAGCATTTTCCAGACGTTAAAAAAAAGGCCAGGTTAGTTGGCCCATGGTGACGAATTAGGAATTAACCATGATGTTTTCTATATATTACTTTAGATCGATGAATAACAAAAAAAAAGAAATGAATAACACGAGTAAACACGACGCCTCTAGCTGTCAAGTAAGTATAAAAGGTTTAAATTTTTTTGTCGTTTTTTAATTTTGCAACCGAATTCAAAATAAAGAATGTGTCCCACAAAAAAGTTTTTTCAATTGTGACTAAATTAGTTATTTTGGTTTAAAAATAAAACTTCTAAACCGTTTACGATAAAATTTCTATGGCCAAATTAAAAGTACCCGTAACCAGCGAGCGTGTATGAAAAGATTGATGAATGTGGAAGAAGCGAAGGAGGTTTATTTGAATCGAAGGACTTGGCGTTCTATTGTTTCTACCTACCCTAATGGGAGACAGGCGTGACAGATACGTATATATGTATGTATGTATCATGTGCAAATTTCCAAAATTTCATTTAAATCGGTGGAGCGGTTTCGGAGATTAGTGAGAATGGACGCAGTGACACGTGATTTTTATATATTAAGATAAGTACATATATAAATTGAGAAATTTCATGCGACTTTAATAAAATTAACGTGTAAATACGAACACCGTAATTCCTCTAGAGGAATGGTCGGTAATTTTTTTCCATTTACCACCCAAGTTATGTTGCCGCCATTTATAAAGGTATTATAGTAAGCCCAATGATAAATGCCGCGAACATTTTGCCTTTGTTCTAAATATATCGCAATTGTTTAAAATTTGAATATTATTTCTCAAACTCCATTTTTTAAAAATACTATGATTGTGGTTGGAACTTTATTATTATTTTATATTAGTTTTTATTGATAAAATAAAAAAAAAATATTCCTTATAAAAAAGTTTCTAAATTCAAATAAATTATGCAAATTCTGTTTTCAAATCCCTCATAAGATATTTGATCAGAGAGTTGTTGTTATTCGGTTTATTTAGGTACATATCTTTTAAACATGAATAATTCATGTTTACCGTTTACTTATAGACTGAGATTATTACATATTCTGTTTCAAATAAATTAATAATGTTTTCTTCATAAATAAATTGATTCAAATAATCATCATCATCATCATCATATCAGCCGTTAACTGTCAACTGCAGAACATACGGGGGAGGCCCTATTGTAAAATTTTTGCCAGTAGTTGATAGGCGGATTGGCAATCGCAGTTAGGCTTTGGTGATGTTTATAGAGGGACGCTGCTGTCTATCCCTCGACAATTAAGTTTTTTTAGTTGCCTCTTACGACACCCACGGGAAAGGAAGGAGTGGCCCATTCTATAATGGGACCACAGGGCCAATAATAATTACATGCTAAAAAAATTCATATCTAGAACTTAAGAGCTTGTCATAATTGAGTAGCAATTTTGAACGTCTCACCATTGTCTTTCTGTCAATATTCTCTTATGAATTTATACCTATTTGTTTATTAAAAATTTTATCATGGGCGACACAAATAATTTTATTTGCCAAAATAAAATAAGTTACAAAAGGCGAATTTAATGCTAGTAGCATTTTATACTAGCCAACCTTTGAAATGAAGAGTGAATTATGAACATGGTACTTAATTATTAGAATAGGTAAAGAAAATAACAACTAATATTATATACCTATACAAAATAAGTAATACATATATAAATATAAAAGAATATATATATAACAACAAAATATATATAAATATTAATATAAATAAAATATAAGTAATATAGAAATAAATAAACCATAAAAGTTGATGGTTAGCTACTATTGTTGTAATGAGCTTATAAGGTGAACATGGACTCCTCTCTTGAACATGAGTTTATTTGGGAGAGCCAGATTTCTGTGAGAAGCGAAAGGGAGTTATAAGAAGGCAGATTCAGATTATGAGAGTTATACGAAATAGTCTATAAGCGACGATTACCACTCTCCATCAGGCTGCTACCTTGTTTGATATTTTAAGTTCCATAAAAAAATATAGCGAGTTCGTGCCTGTTTCGTCGTTCGACCTATACTTTATTTGCGAACTTATTTGTCAGCCGGCATTACAAGCAGGTGACGTTAACTTCACGGGAAGTTGCGTAGGAATCCTTTCTTGCCGCCTCACAAAAATGTTTAAGGGCGTGAAAGAAGTAAAAAAGATTTGGAGGGATTCGTGTGATTTATCGATTTTGTTAGCAATTTCAGGGGAAATGGTTCGGGCCCGAATGTGCATGACATGTTCTGGGTTATATTTATTTTCAAGCTTTGAGACGTTACAGTATATACAAGGGGCGGGGCGTCAGAGTTTGTTTGTTACTAATAATAAACATTTACTTGTATACTTCAGCCTTTTTTACAGGAACATTGGCACACACATATGCATATATGTGTACCGTAGCAAAAAAGTAAGGCCACAATATACTGAAGTTTTTATCTACTAGATAAAACATTGGTTTTGATTATTTCTCAAGAAGAGTGCTAGTTAGAATCAACGTTTTATTTTTCCTGTAATATTCACATATACCTTTATAAACTTTATTTTAGATTTTTCGCTTCAAAAATTTCAGTGATAGAGAGGGGAAGGAGTTTTCACATTTTCGTTCATAAATAAAAAACTATGCATAACAAAAATAAATAAAAATGAGTTTTACAATACACAAATGAAGCCTTTTCGTATGATAACCCACTTGGACAGTTTAAAGTTTGAGTCTTAGGTCAATTTTAAATATTCGTTTTGGACCCCCTAGCAAAGAAATAAAAATATTTTTTTTATGTTTTTCCATTGCGAGCCAATGATATGTAAAAGTATTCTAAATTTCAAAATGATAACATTAGTAGTAGCTAAAATATAACGCTGTAATAGACGGACGGACGGATCTTTATACCTTTTTAGTAAGGAACCCTTAAAACCGATCAAGTGCAAGTTGAACTCACACACTTCCCATTTTTTTTTTATAAGTCGAAAATTATGCAGCATGATAAATAAAAATTGATTTAGAATGTGCGTTCGAAGCACTTTCATATGATATCGAATTTGGACTAGTGGGTTTATTTTAACATTTAGAATATCTCTTTTAAATCATTTAGTTAGTTATATTTTATATATAAAAAAAACACCCTTTGAAATCAAAACCCTATTTCAATGAAATTAAGGAAAAAGTTTCTATTTCTTTCTATAATAAAGAGGAAAAAGATTCAAAAATCAGCTATAGATATGAAAAACATTACGGAATACACTGTGACACCCACGGTACTTCTCATGTGTTGTCATTCCTAAGGACTGTGGTGTTTTTTTAGTAGGTGAGGTATTTCCAAAAGACTACAGTTTTTAAAAAAAGGGATAAAGAAGTTTTAGAGGCTTCAAAGCGCTCGTAATGCTTCTGGTATTGCACGAGTTTATAGGTTACATTAATCGCTTACCATCAGGTGGGCTGTATGCTTTTTTGCCACCTCAGTTTTATAAAAAAAGGTGATAATGAATGCGCTTGCTATCGGTATACACGAGTGAGGATGAAAGCAGCTCAATTTGTCCATCATCACGAATTCTCCAAGAATTAACCAAGATGGTTTTCAGGGGGAACCACGTGGATGTCGACCTGATATTGCTAGCAATGGGACTGTTAGATCTCTAATACTAACAAGCCCTTTCTTCCTGAGGACTATGGTGTTATATCTCCAATTTCTGCGAATCACTGCCGTAATTCACGCCTCTAACTGAAATAATCATGCAAGCATGACTGCGTAATGAACGAAACATGAGTGCATACAGACACCTATCTACGAAGTCACACTCTGGTTTTGTAGCTGATTTTGTATTTATTTTATTTATTTATTTATTAGAAACCAACGGCGTTACAGTTAATATTTATAGACTAGTATTTAAAATATTAAGGCTAATAACAGGTTTCTTATTTTTATAAAAGTACAAAATTGGTTTGCGCAAAAAAGGAAAAGTACAATACAGACATTCAATCAGCATACACACAAATACAAATATTTACCAATGCATGTATGTTACAGTATATTCAGTACTGCTATATTTATTTTATACATAAATACAACAGATTTTGCATGAATACATTACTTCCTGTTACCATTATGACACATTAAAGCACACACACACTCACACCATACAATTTATATTATGTTAATTAAAACATATGATTTAAACTAACATATGTTAGTTTTATAATTTATTTGTCTCTATGTGGCATCATCGTCATCATTATTTCAGCCGTTAATTGTTCATTTCTGAATATGAGCCATTCGCATAAGAGGAGTTTTGCCAGTAGTTGCCACGCTTGCCAGACGGGTTGGCAAACGCAGTTGACGTGTTTTACAGTTTGGCGTGAATTTACAGGGTACAGAGGAATAACACCTGAGTCCTCAGGAAT